GGATTTGTGATTCCACTTGGTATTTGTCCACTTGGATCTTTCAAAGTCAGCAGCAAATATAGTACTCAGAGACAACCATAGAGTTTCACAGTAAATTTTGTTTTCAGTATATATTTTTTCCTCCTTACTTCTTATGAATAGCACCTCATAAAAAAAACTTTTTAGGACAAGACTAGATTTGTATTCCTTTGCATGCCAAAGATATCGTTTGCAAAGTTAAATAAATACTTGGTAAAATTCTACATACGTATTCTTTTCCTTAGTACAGTCATTACTAATGACCAAATAATCTCTCAATAAAGGACTGAAAGTATTTTTATTAGATATCTCACTACATAAAAAAAAGGAGTCTTTAGGATCCCAAACCAACATTTTTTTTATTAAACTATGAAAATCAGTGGTTCAGAGTCTTAAGCTGTGTATTAGTACGTCATTATTCCTTTGGGCCTAAATGATTTGTCATGTTCTATCTCCTCTGGATAAAAATATTTTATGGCCTGTGACTGGTGCAAAAACTTTCCTAGTCCAGATGCCAGTCTCTGAAACTTGTTCACTATAAACATTTTGCATAGTTTGTTAGGGTTTTGTCAAAAACAGCAATTATCTTGTACTGTTTCCTAAAATGATGGCAGAAAACATGATTAATAAGGACATGGATAATAGAAGCTGGGAGGTCTCATGTTGTCTAGGAACTAAGAAAAGTTTCAAAATAGTTTGGATGAACTTTGGAAAAAAATTGCTCAATGACTTTTGAATGTCACTACTCCTATTTTCCCTCACGATATTCCCTGTAACTTCTGCCTATCACTGTATTGTACAGGGCCTAGAGCTGACCATTTTATACAAAATATCATTCTGGTCCTGTCTACTACTTTTGCTAAAAAATGCTATTGCATACGTTCCATGCTTTAAGAAACATGCTAAGGTCATAAAGCATATATATATATATATATATATCATATGTATATATCTATACATATATGTATGTGGGCAGGTTCACAGGAAAATGTGGAGAGATTCTGAATCAAAATCTGCTGTATTTTGTTCTTAAGTCTAGCCAGCGCTATGAATTCAAGCCAATTCCAAAACCTATCAATATTTCAGGTGAATCATGGGTGAATAAGTATCATGTACTAGTTGGTATGAGAAAATACTATGCCTGATGGAGTTCTTTGCAAATGCCTCATGGGTGTCATCACCATCAGAATGAATATGGATCTCATAAAATATTGACATAGTGCCCTTCATATTTAAACTTGTATTGGTGAATGATAATAAAACTTGAAGCACTAAAAACTTTGTTTATTTGCTTTTCTAAAGCCAGTATTTTTGCCTTAAAGCCCTTGAGATTCACTAACATACTTTAGGAGTACAAATACATATAACCATCAAATATGAAAATGAAAACGCTTTAAGCATGGGCCATCTTGTTTTATTCAATCTTTTTCAATAGACAGAGGAAAAAGGGTTGTCTAGTGAGAATTACAATTGCTTCTACTCACATTAAACAACAGCACCAGTACTAATTCCTTCGAAGTCTGTAATAGTTTACCCCTGTTGCTCTAGGAGGCTATGCAACACATTTGTACTATAATCAATCTCTCTCTCTGAATCTTTTATTTAAAACTTTGGTCTTTCTCTCTTTCCTTCCTTCCTTCCTTCCTTCCTTCCTTCCTTCCTTCCTTCCTTCCTTCCTTCCTTCCTTCCTTTCCTTCTCTCTTTCTTTCTATGAATAAAATGAATCTTGATCAATGTCACCCTTTCAACATTCTCACCCATCCTACCCAACCCACACCTTCCCTGACTTTTCTTAAATTTTGTAGAATACACATTGAAATTTTACTGCATTTTTTTCTTCTTTCATCTACCCTCCCCTTCAAATACTCTTGTAACAAAAAGAATGCTGTGATCTGTGTTTTTGTTTTCATTTTGTCACTAACTGGAAGAGTCCGTTTTTATCAACAGATTTATTTCTCAGATATTCTTATTCTTTAAATATGTTCTTCACAGCTGCACAGGGCTATCAGAAGATTAAAATCAAGTGCAAATTAAAAATCACTTTGCAGAGAAACTCTGCAATGTGAGGGATAATTGTTTCTGTCACAAGCACCATACAACCAGAAGCTAAATTTTCACATCAACACTTTGTTATTGCAGACAGGGATATATGAGCAGTTTTATAAAAATCATAATAAATGTTTTCATCTTTTATTGCACTATGAGTATTATATGTTCTTTTTATCCAAAAGGCAAAATCTGTCATATCTGCTGTGTATGTGTGTGCTGTGTATGTGTGTGAGTGCGTGTGTGCACCTGTGCTTCATTTCAATGCTAATTGGTCAGAATGCTTAATTTATCCAAGACAAGGAAAGGTTTCTATAGACTATGCCGCCTTTGTGAGATTCCAGGAGTCACCTGTGAGCTCAGGAAAACAAGGCTTGCTGAGTGAGCAAAGCAGCTTCTTGAATCACAAAGAGAAGCCTTTCTACACTTTAAACTCAAGCAGTTTTCTTAGTGTTCTCACCAGCTGTACCAGTCACTTACAGCTCTCCTACCAGGAGCCCAATCAGAGGCTTTTGTTCTCATGGAATTCTGACACGTACAATAGAAATGGCCCTGAGATCATTGATTGTACCTTTAATGGGCTGCTCCCCAGTGATTTTCCTAAAAGCCCAGAGGAAAGTAAAATCTCCCTACCCTTCAGAATATCTGAACAGTCAAACCTTTAGGCTACAAATTTATCTGAGAGTAGATTCATCTTTAACTGTTGAGAACTTAATTTCTTAACTCATTGAAATGTGAATAGATCACACTACATATTGCTTTGCAGGAAGCAAAGTAGCAGTAGAGGAAACAAACTAACAAATAATAGTTTGCATCCACATTAAGAAGCCTAAATTTTCAAATAAAATTATACAAAAACATCACCATAAAATATTAATGTTTTCGTCTTTTCTTGCACTATGAGTATTATATGTTCTTTTTTATCCAAAAGGCAAAATCTGTCATATCTGCAAAATCACTTAAAGTATGTGCTGTGTATGTGTGTGAGTGCATGTGTGCACCTGTGCTTTGGTGACATTTGTGCTCTTAGATTCATTTCAATGCTAATCGGTCAGAATGCTTAATTTATCCAGGATAAGGAAAGGTTTCTATAGAATATGCCACCTTTGTGAAATTCCAGGAGTCACCTGTGAGCTCAGGAAAACAAGGCTTCCATTCACTGGAATATGTTCCCATGTTAAGTCTAATTTTATAAACATTGGCTCTCTGGGAGCATTAAGGGCATTAATATAAAAATTCAAAATTATAAAAAACATAGTAAGAAAACCAATTTACTTTCATCAACATTCTTACTTTAGCAAAAGGTCTTACTGGAAGTCTACTTTAAGTGAGTTAAAATTTAATCATTAACTGAAGTAACATAAACTATTAAAAGCCAGTTCAAATTTAAGGTCAATGCAAATAAAGTTGAAACATCTTTGATGGTAAGTAATCAACTCAACAAAGACAATTAGATTCACCAGAATTTGATTTGTATGAGAATTGCTTAATATGAAGTGTATCGCTGAGTCAGTCATGCAATGATTTAACTGGCCCCTGGTCTTCTTGAATGTAGAAACCTCAGGTGCTTCCCAAGAAGTAGTATCTGGCCAAATGAGAATTAACTCTAGTGACCTATGTGTGCTTGCTAGAGTAGTGCTTCCAATCTTATCTAGGCAGACTCTCTGCCTTATCAGTATTGTCTATTTGGAGAAGTCAGGGGTGTCTCTGCAGATCACGATAGTACAAAAGGGGTGGCTAGCAATGTATAAAAGAAATTGTCTTTCAACCTAGGAGAGAGTGGTTTGCCTCTGTTCTGGATAAGAGGAAAGAGTCTGCTTTATTAATTGCCACATAACTTTTTCCCCAAAATATACCATTCTACCTTATTTCTAACTGATTTTTAGGTCAAAAATTCAGGTAAGTTTGGTTGGAATATTTTCCTGTTCTGTATGGATTGGTTTCAGTAACAGGAAGATGGTGCATGGTTCTGGAAAGGGAAAAATGGCTTTCCCCAAATTCATGGTCCCTGCCAGGGATAACTGTAAATCTGTCTGCATGTCTTGGTCCACATAGGTTGCTTGGGCTTCTTTGTGTGTAAATGTCAAATGCAGAAACTCTTGAACTTTTAAATCCCAACCTCAAATTTATAGAGAAATACCTTTACTATAAGCTATTGCTCAAATGCACACACAAAACAAACAAACAAACAAACAAGAAAATGAAAGCCAGCCATCCTTAGCTAAGGATGCTGTAAAGAGGCATTTCGGAGGGGTTGTGTTAGGGTAGCTAACGCATCAACCATAGGAACACACAAATTTCTCATCCATTTGAAAGAATAAGATGTCATTTGTAGGGAAATGTATAGTCCTAGAACAAATCTTAAGTGAAGTAAGCCAAGCTCAGAGGAACAAACATTGCATGTCTTTTCTCCTATGTGGAAGCCAGATCTAAAACACAACTAGGCATGAAAACATACATACATGCATTTACACACGAGGAAATAGACTAAAGGAGGCTATACTTACTGGAGGAATCCAAAGGCATAGCTCCTCTAAACAATCACAGTACTGTTAACAGGCATTTTGTTTGTTTGTTTTTTTTGTGGGGGGGCATACAGAGGTGGTGGCAAAAAGGGGACAAGGAATGGAGGGAGAGAAGTTGTGCAAATGCAATCATTTTATTCAATGTACAATCTGGAAAAATAAAAGGAACATCGTAACTTGTAGTCAGGGACCGAACCGCACAAGGAAAATGGTTAATGAAGGAAGGGGTGACATTGTTCAAAAACATTGTAACCATATCCACACTTATGGAATTGTAATCCCTTTGTACAATTCCTTACTAATAGCAATAAAAAGTGCACTTAAAAAATTCAACATGAACTTTGGAAGTAGTTACATTTGATATATACACTTTAAGAGGAAAAGATAGAAGGCAACAAGATTAGCACCCACCTGACGGAACTGGTCCAGGTCAATTTTGTTACCCACCAGCACCAGTGGAATCTCATAGGTGTGGCGGACCTGAAAGATGAGCTCTTTGAATTTGGCAGCTTCCTGGAAGGACTGGCGGTCAGTGACAGAGTAGCAGATGATGAAACCCTCCCCACCTCGCATGTACTGCTCACGCATGGCTGTAAATTCGGCCTGCAAAGGGGGTTAAAAAGGAGAATGCTTATGAGCACTGTATGGAGTGAATGCATATGAAATCTAAATGTATTGTGATAAGACTTGAATATGATAAGCTATCAAAAGTGCTGATATTTGATCATAATGATCTTGGAAGGGTATGGCAAATAGATTTTACTGATGGACTAACAAAGATTATCCATGCATGGTATTTTAATGGCTTCACTTTAGGAAAAGGAACTGGTAATATCCCAACAATACACTTATTCAAACTTAGGTTCAATAATGCGTATATATTTAAGTATTTTCTCACTATCACTTGATAATAATATCACAGTCATCTGCTTAGACTTGTCTTGTAGAGGTGCATAAATGAGAATCTGGATTGCTGAGAAAGAGCTCCATTTCTATATTCTGTTGCATTCTATATTTTACATTCTTTTCTCTCCCTGCAGAGAACGGCAGCGTTAAGTTTGTGATGGTACCAATGCTTCAATCCAGCAGACACTGCTCTCTCAGCCTTTTCATGTTGTATCCTAACTCTATTACAATTTCTCAGCATCTGAAGAGTCAACTTTTGGAGTTCTACACTGAAAATTTCCATGAGTTGATATATCTGTTTTCATTTACTCACACTCTGAATCTACTACTGGAGGGGAAAATAGATTAGGATGCAATAAAAAAGATAAAACCTGGACTCTGGCTGTAGGAAAAAGTCACATTAAAGAGGAAAAGAACACATGAATGTTTTGTGACTTGGACAATGTGTGTTGCAGGTAATAGAAGAAAAGAAACTTTAGATATATTTCAACATTATTCAAAGAATGAGAAAATGGGACTCTTCACCTAACAAAGTATTTACAAGAACCAATAAAATGTCCTGCTTAGAGTAATTGTCTAAAAGCATGTTAATTTGATTTAACATGGATATAAAGACAGGAGCATTTAAATAACCAGGAACTTTGGAAAATTTGGCACTTGGTTCTAAGTGCTTATGTCAAGTAGAGATTAGGGTACATTCAACCTTTTTACAGGACTGTGAAATGAATTAAATAAGAAAACAGACATGAAAATCCTTTGATGACTTTTCTTACATACAAATTAAGCTGACATTATCCATACCAACTCTTTCATAAAATATTGGTGTGCTTTTCTTAAAGCCACAGGAAAGTCATTATTCAGGGAAAATACTATGTTCAACATGTTGCTTCCATTGTTATTCACACATGAATTAAAGATCTCTATGCTTTGTGATGCAAGTATCCTGAATACTAATATTGACTTCAGTGGCTTCTTGCTATAAATGGAACTCATTAGTTAATTATTCGGAAACATTACTAGATTCCATTTGCTATCTACCGGTAGCAAAATAGCTGGGAAACAGATCTATTCTGGAAAGTGCAAAGAATATAAATTTTTCAAATGTCTTCAAAGCTCTTCTTAGTATAAATTTGCAGTTTATTGGCTTTCTTTGATATATTGCATTGTGTTAAAATAGTGTTGTCAATACTAAATGTTGTCAATACTAAAAATAAGTGTGTATGTGTGAGAGAAAGAGAGATTTTCATATACCAATTCCTTATCAGTTGAATAAGTGTTTTGAACAGGTACTAAGGAATGGGATCTGGACTACCTATCTCCTTATTGAATTCAGCTGGTAGATATACAGCATAAATGTCTCACAATGCATAAAATACACCAGTATTATTACCAGGATTATTAACCTTTAATTTTGTCTAATATATCAGAGACATTATTGTTCTCCCAATACATTTGTTCTCTTTGTACAAAATGTAGTTAACACTATGCTGAGTGCAAAGATAAATGAGAAATTAAAACATAAAAACAAAGGCAATGATGACATTGTCCAGGTTAAGAAAACACAATTAGAACAGAGTAAAACAAACAAAGGCCAATTAAATGCTAAATGAACCATGAGGAATCTGAGAACAGAAAGAATATTTAACAGGAGAAAGGAAAAAGGAGTTACTTGGTGAAGAAATGAGATACGGTAGTTTTCCTTGAATTTATTATTTATACAGAGCTTGCTCCATAACTTTCATGCAACTTTACACTCAACAATCATATATTGTCATTCTAAAATTAACTTTCATGGTCAGCATTTGCCTGACAGTTGAGCTGCTAAAACTTGCTTATGAAGGAACTGTTCAAGTGCTGGATATTGCTAAAGTGCCAATGTGATTAATGCTGCTTTTGTTTGCATCATTTTAAGGAACAAAACAACTAAGATATCATAAGTAATTGAAGCTTGTCTATCATAAACCTACTATAATATTTTATTATTTTATTTTATTCTGCTCTATTATAAGGATAATGGCAGAGGGGTTACCGTTGCATAAGTAAGGGAATGAGTTCATTTCTTGTTGAACATTGTTACCCTCTCCCTTGCTTTCTCCCACTTTCCTTTCTCCCAACCCCTCTCCTCCCAAGATGTAAAGTTCATTTCTGACATAGCATTCTAAGTATTGCTGTTGCATTGGTTCACCCTTTGTCTTACCATTTTGCTATTCCTCTTCCCTTCCCCAAATCAGATAAAAGTATATACAAGACACAGCATAACAAAATCCAGAAAACAAAAACAAGAAAAAACAAAAAACAGTGACAACAGGGGATAAACCTAAGGAGGGAAAATGAAAGAAAAAAGAACAAAGAACTTCACATAGTAAATTCTAAAAACAAAACAAAAACAAAAACAAAGGAAAGAACTCTCTCTAGTTTCCATAGCTTGGGAGTTCATTTTGATTAGCATCATTTTATATACATAATGGAATTCTATGCCTCCATCAAAAAGAATGGCATCGCCCCATTTGTAAGGAAATGGCAAAACATGGAAAAATCATATTGAGTGAAGTAAGCCCGACCCAAAGAAACATAGGCTCCATGGTTTTCCTGATTTGTAATAATTATTATATGTCTAGGATAGTCCTAGCAGAAGATCACAGTAGCTCAATAACTATCTACTACAATTTTAGTAAATTACAAAAGCAGATATCAAGAGGAATAGTGAATCTTTAGGCTCAATCTGACTAGAATTTTTAAAAAATGTTCATTTAAAACAAAAGTGAGCAAAGAGCTATATAAATAAATACTGAATAATATATAGGCAGAAACTGTGCCTAAAAGCCAAAATTGCAGCTAACAATATTGCTTGAGAGTTTATAGAGAAAATAACTGTCTTCACTATTAAAAGTGTACCTATCATCTGTCTTTCAATATTCAACACATATATCTTGAGCAGCGCCTTCTGCCATGGAATGCTGCATACACTCTTCTTAGCTCATTCATCAAATATTTATTGAGCAATTATATGTGTCAGGCATCTAAGATCTGCAATGGTTCAAAAGAACATGTAGGATGAAACAAAAAAATGGATAAATGTGGGGAAAAAAACAATAAAAATTAGGACATTAAAAACAAGGACACAAAAAGAAAGTGAGAAGACAGTTTATTCTGAATTTCCAGACAACCAAGGCTGTAATGGGATGGTAATCAGTTGTATCACTTTTGTGGTCAATAACAACATATTAATTTGACACAAATTTCGAAGCACTTAGAATTGAAGGTGATTTTCTTTTATTAAGTGGAGACAAAATTCCACATCCTCAGTGCCAAGTTGCCAGGTCTTGCACTAGCAGATTGTGTAACACAACATCCATTTTACAGTGTTAGTAAAATCAAACACTTTTGCTGACACCCAATGACACTAAGGTGAGGCTTCATCAAGATGACAGAAAAGTTATTCTGTGGAATGAAAGTACTGAGTTCAGGATAAAGACGATGATTAAAATCTGATTTTAGTGCCATAAAAGTATAGAGAAGGCCCTTGATTATGATGATAGCATTGCTCTTCTTCCTACCATTATATGCAAAACTACTGAGCATCGTATTCTCCAAAGCATTAGCAAAATGCTTGGATCAAATCCCAACAGATAATTATATTATAATTTTATAAATCACTTACTTTAAGCTGAATGTTTTAAAAGATGTTACCATTTCCTGGATGTTACACATTTTAAAGAGAGTGAGGTTTGGGGACTGGGGACAGAGATAAAAGGAAAAGGGAATCCAATCTTTAAATTAAAGGGCTAGAGCTTTTAGTTACCTCTTGTTCTATAGCTAAGGTCAAGACTGTTTAAGGTCAAATGTATCTAAACATATTGCACTGCAATGCACACTAATTAAAATGATTTATTGTTTCTAGTAAGGAAAATACGTGTTTCAGTGCCTGTGGATGGGTCAAAATTCCTTTCTTTTTAAAACTGCTTTTACCTTTCTCTCTTATGTTTGACTTGTATTTTATCAAAAACTTAAACTTTCATGACTGCCTCTGGGTGGTACAAATCCACTAAAAGATATTTCTAATCACAGTTGGTTTCCTGTTTCTGTTGGAGGTCAGTCATACTGAGAGCTGTTTTTCTGCTAGCAAAAGCTACAGGAATCCATCTTGGAAGAAAGTAGAATAACTGTGTTATAAACGGATTCTATTTGTGTATGTTAGTCAGTCTCAACATGATAAAGAAAGGATGATCCCAACAAGAACACAGTGAAGAAAGATAGCAAAGTTAGAGTTGTTACTTGATATAGAAAATGTGGGAGACTCATCTACAAGTAAAAAAATAAAATGAGATGGGACACACACACACACCTTATCATCAAGAAAACATTTCATATCACTGACAGAAAACAGAAAGAAATGAGTGGTTCCTTCACTATTAAGACACAAATCAACTCATTTTGCAATGTTGAGAGAAATTTGCATCCAGACAAGTATAAAATGTTACAGTTATATTAAGAAGGCAGCAATTTTCAGCATATAAATAGAGGAAGTGATACTTCAAGTAGGTAATTATTTGCATTCCATAATATTAGAGAGATACCCAGAAAGCTACTACAAGTTTCCATAAAATGCTTTTATCTTATTAATGCTTTGTAATTAAGGATGTCTTAGGTTACATCAGGGTCTCCTATCCAATCAATCCATCCTGTATTTCTGTGTC